AAAAAAGTTAGAGGAGAAGGGTAAGTTGCAGCTGTAAGGACTGAAGCTAGACATAGGAAGGACTTTCCCTAGAGCTGAAAGCCACTAAGAGCTAGGAGGAAGCAAGGTTCTTTTCTCCTAGTCTCTGGAGAGAGATGTTTGGCCTGGGACTTGGGTTGTGGGTTGAAGGCAAAGGGATGAAGAGTGACTTCTAGGGGCACTTTCTGACCTGACACAGAGCTGATATCCTACACACATGCCTTGGCCTGCCCAGGGTATGTGGCTGCCTTGTGGTTGGGGTGCCTTGCCTGGGAGAAAGGAGGACAGAGGGCACTGGGGTCCCCTTTAAGGGAGGTGAATAATGTCACACACACACACACACACACACACACACACACACACACACACACACACCAATTCCCCTCACACTGACAACAAACCTGGCCAAGAAAGAGGCCTTTGTCCTAGGACATCTGAGGCTGTAGGGGGAGGGGCGAAGGCTACAGGTGAAAGGACACATCAAAGCAGCCGCTGCCTCTCCCCAAAATAGCTCCCCTACCCTTTTCCCAGAACCCAGGCGTTCCTTAAATAAAAGCAGAGCCCTAAATGCCTACCTGCCTAAACAGCCAGAACACAAGAGTCCTGGCCCTTTTCTTCAGCACCCTTCCACCTTGCTATGACTCAGTTTCCCTGTCCCCAAGAGAGTCAAGCGAGCAGAGGGAAGGAGGTGACAGCTTGTATAATGTTTAGAGGTCACTTTGGAGTGGAACATCCGCTTGGAACTCATTATGTGCATGGGAGAAACACAGACCTGGCTGGACTCCTGGGCTCAAAGGAGGGCTGGGAGAGGCTTGAAGCCATGTGTGCCCCTGCTGGCTGGGATCAGAGTGGGGGTGGGGTGTGGGCAGAAACCACACTGGGCTCAAGTTTCCTCCCTTGGCCAGAAGGGGCAGGAGAAGAGGAGGGCCACAGGGAAAGGGGAGGGTTGGAGGAAGGACGGAGAACTCCGGCCGAGGGCTTCATAGAGGAGGCTGGTGCACCGCCCAGCAGCTTCCCCTACTCAGTGCTCAGCCTGCAGACTCAGCGCTCAGCAATGGCCAGGGGGCGGGGCACAGACCTCCCAGGTCCTCAGAGGTAGCAGGGATCCTCGCGAAGGAGGTGTCAGCCCAGGCCCAGCCTCCCCAGAGACAGCACCTGGAGCCTCATCTCTCTCTGCACCCAACTTGGAGCCTGCCACAGGTGCCTGAGGGGCGGGGTGGGAGGGGGATTCTAGTGGGATCCAGGGACAGGCTTGGCGGGGGAGGGCGGAGGAGGAAGAGGGAGGAAATACCCAACTTTTGGCATGTTCTTAAGAGATATCAGACCTTCCCAAGCTGCCCCTGGTTTAGGAATTTGACATCTTTGGGAACTCCTCCAGGAGAAGATCTACATGGCTTCTGGAGTGTTCTGGGATTCTTGGGTTGAACGGCTGTGGATGGGGACCAGACGGTGGTGCGCTGAGGCAGCCCTGAGGGGCTGGAGAATGACCCTGAGTAACCTTCAGCAGGCTAGGTGCCCTGGAGAAGATCGTAGACTCCCAGGAGAAAGTACCATTCTTTCTCCTCGCCATTTCATCATGCTGCCCTGTCCAGCCGGCTGGGACGGTTTGGTGGAGGCTGAGGAATTGGAGATATTGGAAATGTTGTTGCAGCAAGATGTGCTGGTGGGAGGGTGGGTGCTAGTTCTTGCCTCCCTTTGCCCTTCTCTTCTCTGGGCAATAGAGATCGGCTTGGACTGGAGCGGAGGGGAGGGATCCCATCCCCAGTGTAGTTCCTCGTAACTGGAAGTCCTGGCAGCAGAAAGGGAGTGGGCAGGGAAGCAGTGGAAGGGGAGAGGGGCTGGGGCTGGGACTCTGGTCATTGGCCAAAGGACTGCGGTTTGGGGTCTGGGGCCATGTGACAGGATGGCAGACGCTTGTCCCTCTCCCCCTTGCTCCCGTTCACCTGTTTGAGTTATGTGTGTCCCCCAGGAGATTGAATCTCGTTCTGATCCACTCCATCTCCTTTTCCTCCATTCCCTTTGTTTCTCCCTCATCTGTGTGTCCCTCTCCCTCTTCGGGGATTCTTCCTAATCTCTCCAAGTAGGTTGCTCACTGGCTACTCCACACCCCAAGTTTCACTGATCTCTCTTCGTTCTTTCACTGCTTCTGTTGACACCTGGAAGGTAGAGTGGCCTAGTTAGCCTCAGAAGAGGCTCCTAGAGGCAAGTGCCCCCTCGGCCTTGTCAGGGCAGTTAGAGCTCTGGGCAGCAGTTGAGGCCAAATGTCTTCCTCTCCCCAGCATCCCTCCCTACTCGGTCCTCCCGTATCCCTAAGCAAAGAGTTGGCATCATTCTGTGAGCACTCAGGGACTGTGATGAGAGCTTTCTGGGTACGACCATCAGGACCATCAGGATGAGAATAAAGAGGGTGGATTATAGTCCCTGGAGATGGCTCCACTCCTACCTGATACACAAGGTTGGGGAGCAAGATGGCTATGTGACCACTAAACTGGGAAGTGGAAACTGATTATTCGAAAAGAAAAGGGACATAGAGAGAGAGTCCCACTCCATTTCCCAGTAATCTCTAGTTTCTGCACCCTCTGTGATGTTCTTGTGTGTGTGTGTGTGTGTGTGTGTGTGTGTGTCTGTCTGTCTGTCTGTCTCTCTGTGTTTCTGTGTGTGTCTGTCTATCTGTGTCTGGTATATGTGTATGTCTATGTGTCTCTGTGTGTGTATGTCTGTGTGTATGTGTGTTTGTGTCTGTGTATCTGTGTTTGTGTGTATGTCTGTCTGTGTATCTGTGTTTGTGTGTATGTCTGTGTGTGTATGTCTGTCTGTGTATCTGTGTTTGTGTATATGTCTGTGTGTGTATGTCTGTCTGTGTATCTGTGTTTGTGTGTATGTCTGTGTGTGTATGTCTGTCTGTGTATCTGTGTCTGTGTCTCTGTGTGTCTGTCTGTGTGTATCTGTGTCTGTGTACCGGGCTCTGTGCAGTTTTATCACCTGTGTAGCTTCACGTCTCCCCCACACAGACAGGTCCCTGAACAGGTCCGAAGCCACAGGATCTGTGTTCTTTTTAGAACGAGCAGTGAACTGGATGGAGTTTTTCTCTCTATGCTGCCCTGTACTTTGTAAATCTAATAAATACTAAATGTTCTTTCGGATCCAATTCTCACTGTACTCTCTTCCCCGGTTTATATCACTGGCTGCTACACCCTGGCTGATCCTCAGGAGAGTAGGCTCCGAAGACTCAAGGGGCCTACGCTTGGTATATAGGCCACTACCCATCACTGAGTGTCTAGGGGAAAACATACTCCTCCCCTTTGGCCTGGTGCAAACTTGCCACTGTATCAGAAAGCTGATGCCAAGGTTCTCTCAACTCCCCCTTCCCCAACTTCTTGCTTCTCTCTGTTCCCCCTGGTTCTCATTTCCCTGTCCTAGGGTGAGGTGGAGATTGAGCTCCTGGTCTTCATGAGAAGAGGCCAATATCTAGTCTCAGCCATTGGGGCAGTCAGAACCCAGGGTTGCCCGGGCCAAAGATTGGAAGCTAGGAGAAGCCTGGAGACCACTTGCCGGTTGGACCAGTTTAGTGTGTCTCAAAAACACCAGGGTACTTGTTAAAATGCTGATTGCTGGGTACCTGCACCTATGAATTCAATTCAGTAGGTCTGGGGTGGCTTTCAGGATTCTGTTTTTATGAGTATCCAGGTAATGTGGTGCACAATACAGTTTGTGACTGCCTGAGCTAGAAATAATCTACTGCCTCTCACAGCAAGGAGGTTGGTTCTTCATCCTGTTTCCATTAAATGGAAGAGACTGAATGAGAAGCAATTTGCCCAAGGTCATGCATCTGGAAGGCCAGAGAACCTTTCTCCTGCCTCCTAGGGCAGAATCTTAGTATTGCACCTAAGCGTCAGGCCTAGGAAGATATAAGGAGAGACGAAGGGTGGGGGTAGGTGGGTGTGTGAAGGACTGTGAGGCAAGAGCCAATGTCCCTGCCCCATAAACCCCTTCTCCATTCACTTTGCCTTTGGGCAATTTCCTTCAGAACCTGGGTGGGGGAGGGTGGATTTCCGGTGTTGAAATGGCATCCTGGACAGACATAAACACCCCACCCACTCTGCCCAATGGCCAGGAGCCTGTGCCTATACCAACTCTCAGCTCTGGGGATGGCAACAGAACAAGGGGGTAGGGGCAGGGGCTGGAGGAGGTCCTCTTTCTGAAGAATAATTTGCAGCTCTCTCTAATTATGTTGTGAGATTCGAAGAGTGGACTCCATAACCAAATAGGTATGACAGGCCATCCTTGTGGTAATCTAAGGTCATGCAATTTGAGGTCATTCCGTCCCATCCTCTGTTCTTCTATGTTTCCCCTCCCCGTAGCCTGACTGCTTCTACTTATATGACAGGAGTAGGGAGTAGTGTCCGGCCTTAAGAGATCAGGAGGCCCCTGCCAAATTTACTTGGAATTTCTTGCCGAAGGCAGGGAGAACAGATGCAGGGAAAACGGGTGACAGGGAATAGGAAGGTAGGATGAGGAGAAGACTGACAGAGAGAAGATGAAGTCAGAGATGAGGGTTTGCTGAGAAAGTTAAGCTGTCCAAGCAGAAAGGGACCTCCAAGTTCCACTTGTCCAACACTCTAGTTTTACAAATGAGGAAAGAGGCTCAGAGAAGAGCGATGACTTGCCCAACATCACACAGCTACTTTGTGGCAGACCTGCAGCTAGAGCCCAGATCAAAAGAAAAGGGGCTGGAGGGGAAAATGTATTCAAGGCTCTAAAGCAGTGGTTCTCAACCTTCTGGCCCTTTAAATACCGTTCCTCATGTTGTGATCCAACCATAAAATTATTTTCGTTGCTACTTCATAACTGTAATGTTGCTACTGTTATGAATTGTAATGTAAATATCTGATATTCCGGATGGTCTTAGGCGACCCCTGGGGAAGGGTCGTTCGACTGCCAAAGGGGTCACGACCCACAGGTTGAGAACCACTGTTTTAAAGCTATTCCCTAAAAGACAAAAAAAGAGACCGAGATCCCACAGAAAGAATCGATGATGTAGACCACTATTAAAGGCTTGGGGTATGGAGACAGAGGGTGAGAAGGCACCTAGAAGGCGATATAGGCTATTAGACTAGCCGCGAGTAGACTCAGTCAGTAGAGGTTCCAGACCCGACTCTGCTATTTACCAGCTTGGGTTTCAATGTCTGAATGGATCTTATAGGATCTTGGTGAAAATCAGCCTCATAAACGAATGCTTGTAAAACACTAGTACAGTTCTTGACAAATGCTTAATACATCTCTGTTACTTCGGAAGAGGAAAGGTCCCTGGCTGTGGGTTGGGGTATGGACAAGATGACCCTGCAGGGACACAGGGCAGAGGTCCAGTGACTCCAGAGACCATTCCTCCTCTGCTGTTTGCAGCTGATAAACCTCTTATCTGGTCCAGGCAGGGGAGTCCAGGGCCAGGACAGGAGGAGAGGGCAGGGCAGCTATCAGGCACCAGGCCTGGGCCATATCTCAGAGAAGGGGAGGACTGTCTGCGTGGTTCTTCCCACAACACACTCCTTGGGGATCCCCGAGCACTCGCTCTCATCTTGGGAAGAAAAGGCTGAGATCCTAACTCTGAGAACAGAGGAGGAAAGCAGGATGTTGCCTCAGAAAATGGGGAGAAAAAATCCAGAAGACGTGACTTCTGCCCCAGCCAGTGATACAGTTTTGGGGAGAAAGAAATAGGGTAAAGAGAAAGCATCTTGTCTGAAAAAAAGGTAAAGGCCTAATGTGCTCCCAAAGGAACTGACTACAGATGAGATGGAGGTCACACTGCAGAAAAAGATGTTCTAGCTTGAGGAGCTGGTTGAAGAGTCTAGCGTGAGGGGGAGGGGATGAGGTCTCTCCTCTCAGGTACATTGGAAGGAGCCTCTCTCTGGAGGCAGGCAGGATAAAATTGCTGCCCCCTAGTAGGAGAGCCCTAACCCCATTTCTCCTTTGATACAGGTTGCTGGGGCCATTTGGGTTTTGGGGGACCCTGGACCAGGCCCTGGCCCAGTAGGATGCCCCCGTGTCCTCCCCAGCAGAGCAGGAACAGGGTGACACAGCTGCCCACTCCGGAGCTGGGTGAGATGGAACTGACTTGGCAAGAGATCATGTCCATCACTGAGCTGCAGGTGAGTGGAGCTGGGGGCGCGGGGAGGGAAGAGTAGAGAAGCAGAGAGTCTCGCTGGGACTGAGGCAGGGGGCTGGAACAAGGAGGGCTAAGGGTCTCAAGCTGGAAATGTTCCAGGCGCTGGAAAAGGAAGGGCTGAAGTAGAAGGGAGATCTGGATGTTAGACCAGAACACTAGGGGAGGGGTGTGGAAGAGCAGGGGACAGGAGTGGTGGGGAAGGAAGGATTTGACTGGGGAATGTATGCTCTCAGCAGCCACTCTGCACACATCTCTCTACCCCACCTCCGGCCCCGCCTTCCCTTCCTCACCTTCTTTTATTCTGACCTCCCTTTCCTCCAATCCTGCTCATCTTCTCCCTTCATTTTCTCTCCCTGCCCTCAGCAGCTGGGCCCCTTTCCCCCAGGTAGCTGAGCAGTAGTTCAAGGGCCTCAGGAAGGGGGGGTCAGTCTATGCCAGGGTCCTCTCCTCCTGCTAGTGGACAAAGGGGTATCTGTTGGCCTAACAATAAGGTCTTTGTCCCCAGCTGGGCTAGAGCAGGGTGGATCCCCAACGTGGTTTGGGGGCCCTGTTTCTAGCATGTTCTCTCCCCCTCTCTGCACCTGGGCAGGGGCAGAGGGACTGAAGAGTGGAGGGTAGAGCTGGCGCAGGCTCCTCAAAGTGCCTCTTAGCCCCCCGGGTGACACAGCTGCCCACTCCAGAGCTGGGTGAGATGGAACTGGCTCTGCGCCTGACCCTCTCTCCCTTACCACTATGCATGGGCCCCCGGGATCTGCCCTAAGCCCTGCTCCCACACAGCAGCTCCCTCTGCTGGGCACCCAGGGCATGGCTAGGACCTGAACTTGACCCTTTGACCCTAGATAACCACAGCAGGAAAGCGTTCTGAGGGGTCATCTTGGATAAGAACTCCTTGTCTTCCTGAAAGAAATAAAGAAACATGAGCCATTTCAACCCAGTAAGAATTCCTGAGGAGATTCCATACGTTAGTTCTTTCTGAAGTCCGACCTCAGTGATATCCATTCCTGTTTAAACTGCTTTCTTCTTGGAAGACTTGCATTGCAACTTTACAAGACGCTTTCAATGATTTTTAGTGCCTTTTTGTTCCTTTGTTGTTATCTCACTGGGTCTTTCAGAAGGACCGAGCTTGGTCCTGAGAGAGCTGGTTCGCCTCCTCAGCCTGTCTCCAAATCTCTTTTTATGTCTTTCCTTGCAGGGCCTAAATGCTCCAAGTGAGCCGTCGTTTGAGCCTCCAGCCCCAGCCCCATACCCTGGGCCCCCACCACTCCCAACTTACTGTCCTTGCTCAATCCACCCAGATGCTGGCTTCCCCCTTCCTCCACCACCTTATGAGCTCCCAGTATCCTCAACTCATGTCCCAGACCCCCCATATTCTTATGGCAACATGGCCATCCCAGTCTCCAAGCCACTGACTCTCTCAGGCCTGCTCAGTGAACCCCTCCCAGACCCCTTAGCCCTCCTGGATATTGGGCTGCCAGCGGAGCCACCCAAGCCTCAAGAAGACCCAGAATCCGACTCAGGATTATCCCTTAACTATAGTGATGCTGAATCTCTTGAGCTGGAGGGGACAGAGGCTGGTCGGCGGCGTAGCGAGTACGTAGAGATGTATCCAGTGGAGTACCCCTACTCACTTATGCCCAACGCCTTGGCCCACCCCAGTTATGCCTTGCCACCTGCTGAGACCCCCTTAGCCTTAGAGCCGTCTTCAGGCCCTGTGCGAGCCAAGCCCACCGCACGGGGGGAGGCAGGGAGTCGGGATGAGCGTCGGGCCCTGGCCATGAAGATCCCCTTCCCTACGGACAAGATTGTCAACCTGCCGGTAGATGACTTTAATGAGCTGTTGGCACGGTACCCGCTGACAGAAAGCCAGCTGGCACTAGTCCGGGACATTCGACGGCGGGGCAAGAATAAGGTGGCTGCCCAGAACTGTCGCAAGAGAAAGCTGGAAACCATCGTGCAGCTGGAGCGGGAGCTGGAGCGGCTGGGCAGTGAGCGGGAGCGGCTGCTCAGGGCCCGTGGGGAGGCCGACAGGACCCTGGAGGTGATGCGCCAACAGCTGGCCGAGCTGTACCGGGACATTTTCCAGCACCTTCGGGACGAAGCCGGCAATAACTACTCCCCTGAAGAGTATGCGTTGCAACAGGCTGCTGATGGGGCCGTATTCCTCGTGCCCCGGGGAAGCAAGATGGAAGCCTCAGACTGAGCTGGCCCAGCGGGGCAGACCGCTGACGGAGATGCCCTTCATTCCCTTCTGATAAAGGAACTCCCCGACCCCGAGGCCCAGAAGAGGACCGCAGTGAAAAGTCTGACATGTTAGGTCCAAGGTGTGTGTTCCATGAGGCTTGCTGTGAGACAAGTGTGTGAGGGGAAGGCTGGAATCTTTCTGTGACTCAGCTCCCCAGGTCTCCAACCTCCACCTCTTGTTTGAGCTCTGGTTTATAAAGCACTCTACAGAAATAGTTTTCCACTGTGTCTTCCTTCTCCAGGGAGGGTGATGAAGCGGAGCTCTCCTCAGAGCTCATTTCTTGGTTTTGGTGGGGAGGAAATCTTGCCAAGCTCATTTCTTTCCCCTACAGCTCTCTGTAAGAGTGGCACACACGATTTTGGCTCTAGCAGTATGCGATCTACCACCTTCATCCTTTTTAGAGCCAGGGGCCGTGAATGATCTGAGGAACTCAGCCCTCCCTGGTGGCCCCCTATTTATAGAGCTGAGATTGCTGCCAACGCTGGCTAGAGTTTCTATGCAAGGTCCCTGAGGCTTATTTAGGCTTTTCCTCTCTCAATTTTTGGAACACAGGAGCCTAGAATACCCACAGGCCTTTTTTCTATTTCCCTCCTCCTGCCTATTTCCATAGGAGTCCCTCAGCCCAACGGGGGAATATTTCAGAGCTCCCTAAGACAACCGAGTGAGCAACTCTTGATTGGAATGACAATTTGATTGGATGTCTGTTTTAGGGGATTTCACACCCAAGCCTGAGTAAAACCTGCTCCACAGTAGAGCACCATATGCATTTTGGTGAACTTTTCCTTTTTTAAAATTTTTATTTTAGAACGGGAAACATCGACCCACCATTCCACCAACCCATGCATTTATTGGTTGATTCCTGCACGTGTCCTGACTGGGGATTAAACCCACAACCCATCCAGGGCCTGTGAAATTTTCTATCGCCCTAGTTATGTTAGACACTTTCTTGTTCCCCACCCACTTCTAGATCCTTAAAGACCAAGGGCCTTTTATTAGTGTGTACTTTTTCAATAGAATTTTTTTCAATATAATTTTCTTGAAACAGTAATTTTCAGATGTCATATCTAAGTTCTCCCTGACACTTTCATATCCTTGGAGTTGGGTGGTTCCCAATCTTCTCAGGCACTGAATTACACAAACTTATTTTGGCATTTTGCTTCTATTTATATTTCTATTCAACTTTACTAGCTCCATTCCAATGGGGAAACCTTACTTCCAGATTTTTTTTTTAAATATATTTTATTGATTTTTCAGAGAGAAAGGGAGAGAGACAGAGAGCCAGAAACATCGATGAGAGAGAAACATCGATCAGCTGCCTCCTGCACATCCCCCGCCGGAGATGTGCGCGCAACCCAGGCACATGCCCCCGACCGGAATCGAACCTGGGACCCTTCAGTCCGCAGGCCGACGCTCTATCCACTGAGCCAAACCGGTTTCGGCTCCAGATTTTTATTTTATTTTTAAAATATATTTTTATTGATTTCAGAGAGGGAGAGAAACATCATTGATGAGAATCATTCATCAGCTGCCCGCTGCATGCCCCCCCCCCCCCAACTGGGGATTGAGCCTGCAACCTGGGCATATGCCCTTGACTGGAATTGAGCCTGGGACCCTTGAGTCTGCAGGCCAACGCTCTGTCCACTGAGCCAAAGCGGCAAAGGCTACTTCCAGATTCTGATAGCGACACTACAGTTGTGAGACAAATGCAGAAAAGTGGTCAAAGATGTGAAATCTTCTTATCTGCACGTTCTGCAAAACATGTCCAAGTTTAGGGAATTGAAAGTAATGTAATGCTTCCTATTCCTAATAGATCCGAAGAGTCCACACTGGTCAACTTTTTTTTTTAAATATATCTTATTGATTTTTTTTTTTTTTACAGCGAGGGAGAAGGATAGAGTTAGAAACATGAATGAGAAACATCAGCTGCCTCCTGCACATCCTACTGGGGATGTGCCCACAACTAAGGTACATGCCCTTGACCGGAATCGAACCCAGGACCCTTCGGTCCACAGGCCGACGCTGATGCTCTATCCACTGAGCCAAACCGGTGCTGGCAACTTTTGTTCTTTCAAAAAATTAACCATGTGGGACCAAGTTGTAGAGGGCAGGGCCTGGGGTTAACTGTTCAGGAACTTATTACTCCCCTAAGGCAGTGGTTGCAAACCTTTCAGACCTCATGGACCACTGGTTGGTGACTGCAGGCTGCCCTAAGAGACACCAGTTTTCATTCTAATCCAGGTCATAAAGGCAACAATTCACTGAGCACCAAATAAGCTCTGGTTCAAAGAATGAGACATAGTGAGGACAATGGCATGCTTATGTACACATTACCACGAAGACCATCATATACATTGCTTGGTATGTGCTTAAAGCAGGGGAAATAGGCTTTTGGAGAGTAAACTGGGTGTGCGCCCATTTTGAAGAACTAGCACAGGGTAATTATCTTCCTTTAACTTGTATCAGTAAAGCATCCATCCAATTACACAGAATGTGTTACAATTGTTTTTATTTTTAGGTGAGAAATGTCAATGTGAGTATAACATTGATTGGCTGCTTCCTGCATGCCCCCCTAGCTGGGACTGAGAGTGCAACCCAGGCATGTACCTTGACTGGGAATGGAATGTAACCACCTTTTGGTGTATGAGATAACAGCCAACCAAGCCACACTGGACAGGGTTGAAGTTCTTTTAAGTGCTTTTAGCTCTTATTAATCAGTCATCACAGGAAATTAAAAAAATAAAAATGTACTTAGTAAACTCTGGTAGCCCCAGTTGCCCTATCCCACCAAACCACCATGTGAAAAACCACATCTAGCAACTTTAAGTCACGAATGGAGATTAAGCAGCAAGATAACGTACTTGCTATCCCACCCCGCCTTAGCTGATTAAAATTGAGGCAGAATGACCTCCTAAAAATAGCAGGGAAAAATGTTAAACCTTTGCTAAAATTGCCTAAGATACCTGGCCAATACATACTTGTTCACCAAAGAGGACATCCACTATGTGCCTCCAGAATTTAACAGATAAGCATAGTTCTTGTGAGACTGGAGTGGGGCAGCTCTGGCTTTTACAACTTCTCTCTTGCCAGGAGAACTAGAAAAAAAGATGTGCTCTCAAGTGGAGCAACAGTTACCAGCTTACTTCTACCGGTCACAATTCAGCCCTGCAGCGAGAGCCCAGCCTCTCAGATTTCAGTTCCCACAACCCAATCCTTCCTTGTTAATCTGAACACCAACCCCGTGATTTAAAACATTTACCTTAACTGCTCGGTTCAAAATGCAATGACTTTTTACATGAGGCCCTGTTTCTTTAGATTGATCCTGCCATTAAGTTTTCTGGTTTAACAGACACCTGGTATATCATTACCTCCATTTCCCATTCTCAAACTTGAGGGGTGCAGTGTCAAGTTTACCCTAAGTATCATGAAAAGGAGAAAATGAAAGTAAGAAACAAAGTTAAAAGCATTTTATTTAAAATCCCATTCATAAAACTGAATGATTAATTCAAGCTGCAACACAGCCAACGAAAACTGCATGGCAGTGAAAATGAAGTACACATTGGCTCAGATAAAGGTCGTCCTCATAAGGTCGTCCTGCAAAAAGAGAAAAAAAGTTATCAAGTATTTACACAAGCAGATGAAAGATTCCCATTCTTTTTACTGGGAACCCAGTTGCTTTATTAACAGATTTCTATTAGATCAGATTAGCAAGTCTTTGGTTCTGAGGCAGATTCATTCTATTTTGGCAATACCAATCATTTGCTTACCATTGCTTTATAAAAATTTACCTTTTAGCCATGAGCTTGGACAGATGAGTTTCTGTTTAAGACGTGTTGATAAGCCTGTAGTACCAGACTCCTCCCTAGAAAAGCAAACAACCTTTAGAACTAGCTTTTCTGAGATAAAGTCCCATCTCAGGCTAAATCCCCCACCCCCCAATTAATGGTCCACCCACCCTCCCACCATCACTTTGGGGAAGAGTCTAATGCATTACTTTGAGCCATTGTTTTAAGGAAATGGGTCAAAGAAGTAGGAAATAAAATTAAAGGCCAAAAATTTATTATTCATAGTAGATACAGTTAAAGCACTCATTTCCTTCAATTGTTATCCACCAAGGCTAGGGTGTCAATTTAAAACAATCCATCTCCAGAAAAACCAAGTTCAGCTTAACTGGACTAGTTTTGGCTCAATATAATAAGGAAATATAACAGAAAACTGGATTTTACATAACTATATGGATGTAAGTAAAATCTGTTCTTACCTACCAGCATAGCAATAAAACCTTTCCTCCTGGTTCTGACTGCTAGTCCTAAGAGTCAGGTGTGCCTTACTTTTGTCTGCCTCCTTCCTTGCGATGGTCACTGAAAATTCACTCCCTCCTAGCTGTCATGGAGCGTGCCGTGGCCTGCCCCTGGCTTATCTGTACTCCACATACCACAAGTGTCTACTCTCAGCTGTAGAGTGTCTGAGCTCGGAGCCATTCGCGCTATGCTTGCTAGCAGTTCCTAGTAGCTGAACATCTCTCCTGGATCTTTAAAGGCATTGTCAGGAATCCTGAGGTATCTGCAAACTCCCTCAATAGTTAAGGTTCCACCTGCCATTGCAAACTCAGCCAATATCAAACCCATGGAACTGTATCATCCATCCATGCTTTCCCACCCGCCTCCACTCCACCTCCCACCCATCACCATCCCGCCCCCAGACTTCCAAGTAACACACCCATGGGATGAAATACAGTCCTAGTGATAAACAAATCTCTATGCTACTAGGTAAGTACAATGGCACTGAAAATATCAAAGGGGAGGGGGCTCAAAAGAACCTATATACAAATAACAATGACTGGATAGTATGTAACTTAAAAGATTTAGAAACCATTTTCCATACAATTAACATTTTAGGATGGTTGTGTGATCTTGTGCCATGTTTAAAGGAAAACTGCAGTTATCATGTTTGTAAGCAGTATGGTTCCTAAACGTGCCCATAATTTTTGTTTCCAAATAGGCAACTAGTGTGGTTAAAATCTATAAACCTCTATAAAGGCCCACCCAACCAGAACAAAGGAAACTGCAGTTTTCCTTTAATGTAAGCCTATTTTGTGTAGGAGTAAGAATTTCTTACTGGTGCTGGCCAATTTTAAAAAACATCTCCCAAAAACTCTAAATCTGTTGACTTTTGGGGTGGCATCAGCTAGCAGCTGGTTTCTATTCTCTGGCAAAGCTTTGAACTTGAATTGTGATAGAAGTATTCAACATTATCAGGGGTGGTGGGTAGGG